TTTTAAAGTCTTATGAATTATCAAAGATTTGTGTTATTCTCTTTGGGAAAAGATCATTAGGAACTTAATGATGCTTTGGATTTTTTTTCATGTCTTTGATAATATAACTTAGAAGTTGAAATATTTTAATAAAATTTATGAAAAAAGAAGGTATATATCAATAGCATCTATTTAGCCCATAGCCTTTTTCTTTCTTAAATTACTGATTATATCTTTTAGCTTGTGACTTGTTAGCTTGTTTTTATAATAACAGTCAACATTTTTGTCTACTAATTTTATCATCTCTGTCATATTGAGTTAATTTTAACTCATTTATTTTTATCCTCATCATGGGTGAATTTTTCTGCTTGTTTGCATGCCTGAAAATTTTTTATTTGACGAAAGATCAGTTGGGAAATACCACATAAAAAATTGAAATTATAATGAAAGTCAGAGAAATGCAAATGTTGTCAATGAGAAACAAATAAAATGTGGTTTAGTTTCTATGTAGAGAGCAATCACAATGAACAGGCATCTTCAAAGGACTTACGAGATAGGTAGCATCTCAGATATGCCTGGTAACCAAACATGATTTAGACAGTAACAGATGGTAGGAACATGGAGAAAGAGATTTCAGCAAGAGAGAAACACTTGAATCTAAGATGATGTAAGGGTTTTTGAGGAACAGTGATTACACCAGTTTGCTTAGGAATTAGGGTGTGCATAAAAGAAGCAATGGGAAATACTTGCAGTTTGACATTTGACCACATTGTTTGCATGTCATACAACCCTCAGAGATTGCAAATACCTTGAAGAAGGTATTGTGGTACACACACAGGTATCCACACATTATATATGCATATACATATATATCAGTGTGGTTTTATGTGTATCCTTATATATACACACTTACATATACATATATACTTATATATGTACTAATATCTATATATAAATATATATTCTTTTACACAGCTCCAGGTGCAGTAATAGATACACAAATTATGTATCTAACTGCACTGGGTTTTTAATACCATTTTAGCAATGTTGTCTATACTGGTTGATACAAGAGCAGTTTACTTGTTTTACTACCAAACACAGTAGCCGGTAGAGTCCTCATCCACAATTTTCTGGGTCAGAAACTGCTCAGATCAGAACATCAAGAACATGCCTTCACCCTAAGCTTTGGGAACCAGACCAATTATCTATGCCAGAAATTAAGAACATTGTTTTCTACTCAGCTTGCCCACACTGATTGTTGAAAGAAGAAAAATCATTATTAAAAAGAGTTTTTGCTAAATTAAAGGAACTTGTTTATTTTATGCTAAATTAAGGGAACTTGTTTATTTTCAACTCTGAGAATTTGCCTATTGGATGGCTTAAGAATTAGGCAAATAGGATGTGATTGTCTTCTTAAAAATAAAAAAAAATTGTACAGATATATACAATAAAGCCTTAACACTTTGGAACCCACCAATACTGAATGTACGGTCATTTGAAAATTATTCATTAAGATGTTTGACCTTGTATTAACTAGGAAGAAAGTAAAATAATAGCTGAAATAATATTGTTGAGGATTATTGTATATATAATTTGATTACAAAAGCATATTCACAATTAGGATAGTAATGATATAAATGATTACAATTAGGATAGTAATGATATAAATAATTCCATTAAGCTGGTGTTCTAGTTGTAAATAATATTTTTACAATAAAAGCTTTTCCTTTTTATGTAAATAGAAATGTGCACTCATTAATGAAAATTTAGTGCAACAAGCAAAGAAAAAACAAGTCCTAGTAACCCCCCAATATATATTTCTATCCAGTCCTTTGGGGTTGGCATAGTGAATATAGGCGTGTGTGCGTGTGTGTATGTGTGTGTGTGTTTGTGTCTATGAGGAGATATATGAGTTTACTGAGTTATAACTATATGTAATTATGTTTTCTAGTTGGGTGGTAAAACCTTACTGAAGTGTTTTTCCCCAGTGGAAGTTTTATATCCAGTTATAGGTTTATATACCTAATTGTGAATTATCAAGACATAATTCATAATATTTTGTTTTTAAACCACATTGAGATCTCTGTGTGAAAGGGCATGTTCATTGTGCAAGCATTAGAGCCTCTTGATTATCACAAGTCTTATCAGTTATAGTTGCAGACGGGATGACTCCCCTAGGAACAACCACAGGCTGTTGTGAGTTAGGAAATGCACTTGTTGATGGTCTCCCAGGGTACTCATCGTCTCGTTTGATAATAAAGATTTATCCATTCTTGACTACCTTGTTTTGCTTCATTCTCTATTCATTTATCAGTGTGTTTTGGGTTCATCCGCATATAAAAGAAACCACAAAATAATTGTGGTTTAAATGCAATTTTTGTTGTTCTTGCATCAAAAACAAGTCCAGAGACGGGCGATTTCATTCAGGTGGATCTGAATAGCATGATATCCAGGCCACTTCCATTTTTCTTTTCTACCATTCTTAGTGTGTGGCTTTCTTTTGCCAGGTCATTTATGATCCCAGATGGCTGCTGGCCTTTAGAAAGTTCCGCTGCATTCCAGGCCATAAGGCACAGGCAAGGGATGCAAGAGAACTCCTTCCAGTGCAGTTAGCTCTCTCCAAAGAACTGTTCTGAGAGTCTCACCATCAACCTCCATGCACATCTCTGACAAGAATTTAGTAATGTGACCATACTCTTCAAGAGAGTTTAGAAAATGTAGTGTTTTTAGTGGGAGGATCGCTAACAAATAAAAATAGAATACAGTTTTTCAGGGAAAAGGAAAGGCAACCCTTTGAAGTACTTATTATTTTTAAACCACATTGTACAACCAAGCTGAACTCAAGTACTTTTCACAAGAAAGACATATGATAGTATATTTCTAAGCCATTGCAGGACTATGGAAAAACAAAAACGAAACCTCTTTCTTTTCCTTTCGTAAATAAAGGACAGTGTGACTAAGAATAATGTTCCTGGGTCGTAAGCATTACAAAAATCCCAAAACCTTCTGCATCTTGATCCATTATCATCACATTCGGTGTTTCAGACAAGCCTCAAAGCCAGGCTTCATTTTTCCTTCCTAAGGAAACTGTTTTGCTTGTATTCTTGTTGTGCTTTGTTTTGCTTATTCTGTATTAATAGGACATATTTATTGATACATACAATTTATTTTTCAATGTTATTGCCTGCTGATATTTTATCATGCAAAAGTAAATGGCACAAAAAAGTAATTGTTTACAGCTTCCTGAATAAGAAGTTTTCATCTAGGTGTGTCTTTTTTTCCCATAGAGGAATGAACTATTTCTTTTGGGTGGAGAATTGTCAGATACATTTGCTGAAATTCTTAACTTGCCTTTGTATCTTCACCCTTGGCATTGAAAGTTATCCAAAATAAATTGCTAGGAAATCTGCTAAATTGTCTCTAAGGGAGTGCCTAAAAGTAGCCGCACTCTACTCTCTCTTTTGCAATACCTCTGAATAGAATGGAATTAAATTCTGTCTGATGACTTAGGAAAATAGACAAGTAGTCTTCATGTTGCTTATCTATAGTATGGAGAGAGTAAGGAATATCTTCCTTTTGTACTTGGTAAAGAGCAGTATCTTCAGAAACACACAGCTTACGATTTAATGCATAGAAGTTGCCAAAGCTATTACAAACTTGTTAAGGTAATTTGTATCACCTTACTTTGTCAGCTACCTATTGCTGTATAGCAATTATCCCAAGGTTTGGGGCTTAACACAATAACATGAATTATCTCATGGTTTCTGTAACCCAGGAATCTAGCTGAGTCCTATACTTTAAAATTCCTCAGAGCCTCGGGACACATCATCCTACGGACTCAAACATGAGAAAATATTTTCAAATTTTCCTCAAGTGGAAAACGAGTGCAGTAAATACACTAAGGATACATACATGTATTTTTTCTTGTCTCAAATTAACTTTTTACAGAACTTTTGCCTTTCGTCTTTGTCTTTATTGCTTCATACAGTGAATAATAGCTAATCTAGCAGTCAGAAGAGCATTCTTTATTTTTTTGTTTATTTTTTAAAGTCTTTTAATTTTATTTTTAAATTTTTTATTTAGTAGCTTTGTTGGGGGGTACAGGTGGTTTCTGGTTACACGGATAAGTTCTTTAGTGGTGATTTCTGGGATTTTTGTGCACCCATCACCTGAGCAGTGTACATTGTACCCAATATATAGTATTTTATCCCACATCCCCTCCCACTCTTCCTCTGTGAGTCCTCAAAGTCCATTATATTATTCTGATGCCTTTGCATTCTCACAGTTTAGCTCCCACTTACAAGTGAGAACATACGATATTTGGCTTTCCATTCCTGAGTTACTTCACTTAGAATAATGGCCTCCAGCTCCATCCAAGTTGCTGCAAAAGACACTATTTTATTCCTTTTTATGGCTAAGTAGTATTCCATGGTGTGTGTATGTATGTATGTGTGTGTGTATGTATATATATATTATATATATATATATATAGATATATATATATATATATCACATTTTCTTTATCCACTCATTGGTCAATGGGCACTTAGGTTGGTTCCATACTTTTGCAATTGTGAATTAAGAAGAGCATCCTTTGAATATTCTCCTAGTGCCAACGCTGAAAAAACAGAAAGTCATAGAATAAATTATAGGAATATACTTTTCTGAAAATGTCTATATTGTCTTGAATTTTCAGGAGGACTATCTCTGAAATATTGTACTTAAAGTAGCCTATACTCTTAATATTATTGAGAGCTATACTTCTAATATTATTGAGAGCTGAGGAGTATTACCTATACTCCTAATATTATTGAGAGCTGAATATAATACTTAATAATTCCTTAAATAATAAAGACTGGTCTTAATTATATCAGAAAAATCTCTGAAAAATGTTGCTATTTGTTGACCTAGAAACAACTTTGTTAAAAATCTTAACTTAGTGTACTTAATACTGTACTATTTGCCATATAGTTACCATAAATTTCTTGCTGTTTCTCTCTTTGGCTACTTTTTTGAAATAGATTAAGATGCTTAGTGAAGCAGCTGGAAAGAGGTGACGTTAACGTCGTTGACTTAAAGAAGAATATTGAATATGCGGCATCTGTGCTGGAAGCAGTTTATATCGATGAAACAAGGTAAGTTTTAGCCTTCCTCTCTTTTATCTTCTTTGACTCACTCCCCTTTTTTTTCCTCTTTCTTGACCCTCCTTTATCTCAAACAGGAATTTAGCTTATCTTCATGTGAAACCAAAATCAAATCTTATTAAAATTTGAAAAGTTCTTCTTCATGTAGCTAATTAACTGGACTGTGATTCTCTAAAATTAATACACATTTTAATCCAAATGTTTGAATGTCATAAAATAGTCAAACACTAAAGTGAAAAAAAAAATCTCCTCTTCCCCCACCCTCACTCTCCTTGGGCTCAGACTTTTAAATGTCAGAGTTATGTGTAGGCTTATATTGGTTTTCACTGATGTCAGGATTTTCCCTATTATCTCAAATTTCAGAGTCCCTTTAGGAAAATGGTGTTACATGCCCACACATTGTCATGAGATGTGTCTATCAGGCCCTTTATGCAGGGATTGCTAAGGGGCATCCCAAATGTGTGTTTTTGATCATCCAAACCTAGCCTCATAATTAGCAGTGGTAAGGAGATTAGGAAAGGGGGACTTATTTGAAAAGAGTTGCCAGCTTAGTGCTGTGACCCTGAAAGAGGCCATTCACCCGCTGGAGGATATTTGGCAAGTCCAGGAGATGTGACCAGTGTCTCTTGGTGTTCAAAGATATCTGGTTCATAATTCTCCTTTCAAAAGGGATAAAAGTGACAGGCTAATCAGGGCTACCTGTGAATTCAGAGGTCAGAGGGAACCTGTGGGGAGAGAGGCATGCATTTCCAGCGTTTGACATGGAAAAGGTGCTACTTTTTTTCACAGCCATAAATCAGGTAGAATAGAAGTCTCTTAAAGTACCAAAGAGTACTTAAGTCAAATAGTGAAAAAGAGGCTACGAAGAGTAAGTGATGGTATAAGAGCCAGGGTAGGAATTATAAAAATTCAGATAAAATAGTAAAAAATGTATATTCAAAGTACTCTCTTGGTGTTAGCAAGTTGTCTCTGAAGGACCCACAAATGGTCCCCAGGAGAAAAAAATAGGCAGCATTTGGGCATTTGTCACATAGATGGCAGCAAAACCACCAGTCTGGCCAGACTCTTTGGTCCTATAATTTCCTGCCTCTTGCACCGCATTGCTAGACAACCAGAAGCAGCAGTGAGTGGGAATATGGAGGTGAGGACACCCAACAGGCCCCTTCCACTCTGCAGGTATCCATGCCTGTGCCAGACCTAAGCTTGGGGAACATGAGCAATGTTAAACCAGATAGGCAACTAAATAACATTTAGTTTTTATTTACCTATGCGTACTGGACTTCACAGGCATGCAGATACACACACACACACACACACACACACACACACACACACACACACACACATTGTTTAATAAGTAAAAAATTCACATGATGAAATTCTTGCCTCTACCCTGGTCACAGCCTACTCTGTTTCTCATAAACTTCTTATATATCTTTCCAGTGATTTATTACATATTTTTATTTTGTATTTTCCCCTCATCGTTTCATGGAAGGTAGTATACTACATAAACAGTCTTTCATTCTGCTTTTTCTCACTGAAAAAGGAAACTTAAAAGTATCCTTTTATTGTATTCTGATTTTTAAAATATTTAACAATGAGAATTTTTACTAATAGCTGGCAGAAGAGGCCATATTGAGAGCTTTGTTGCACAAGTGATTCTTTCTTTGCCCACAGAATGAAACTCCTCTGCTAAAGCATAGCTTGGAGAAATTATTTGAGGAAAAGAAAACAGGCCGGGCACAGTGGCTCACACCTATAATCCTAGCATTTTGGGAGGCTGAAGTGGGAGGATCGCTTTTGAGCCCAGGAGTTCACAACCAGCCTGTACAACATAGCAAAACCTTATCTCTACAAGCAAACACAAAAATTAGCCAGGCATGGTGGAGTGTGTCTGTAGTCCCAGCTGTTTGGGAGGCTGAGGTGGGAGGATCACTTGAGCCAGGGAGGCTGAGGTTGTAGTGAGCTGAGATTGTGCCACTGCACTCCAGTCTGTGTGACAGAGTGAGATCATGTCAATAAATAAATGAATAAAAGAAAGAAAGAAGAAAGAAAAAAGGAAGAAAAGAAAGAGAAAGAAAGAAAGAGAAAGAAAGAAAGAAAGAAAGAAAAAAAGAAAGAAAGAAAGAAAGAGAGAGAGAGAGAAAGAAAGAGAGAGAGAGAGAGAAAGAAAGAAAGGAAGGAAGGAAGGAAGGAAGGAAGGAAGGAAGGAAGGAAGGAAGGAAGGAAGGAAGGAAGGAAGATTATTTTCTTGGTGAATGTTCACTGAATGTGTATGAATGTACATGATTCTAAGTAAACAGAATCCAAGGTGCAAATTTTAAAAATACCTGATATTTTTCCCTTGCTCCCTCATTTTCATGTGGCTCTTATTGTTCACGAGATGACTGAATTTAACAGGTTTAAGATTTCTTCAATCTGTCCTTGAACAGATATTTTCTTTTCTATTTATCTATAAAACTTAAGAACCAGAGAACGATTTGAAGATTTCCATTATTCATCTTCTAATGGCATAATGCTAACCACCTGGTTTGCCTAAGTGTCCTGTCTGTCATTTGATAGATTATTATATGCTTTATTTATTCATTCATTTTTTCTGGTGCATTTCTGTTCCCTGAAAAGTATGACTCCATGAATATTTGCTAACTTAGTTCCTTATGATCCCTAACTTATTTAAATGTATGTTATACCTAAAGTATAGCTCTTTTTCATTTTAAAATTGCTCTTTTGAGGGGAAAAGAGGTTGAGCACAATGCTGCCCGGCTTTGTGGTAGAAATTCATTTATTTTTTTCCTTCTTATAACAAAACATTCCATCTCTTAACACCACATTATTCCTAATATTTATTCCAAATTTTTATTATTTTAATGTAATTCTTCCATGGCATCATGAGTTTTAAATTGGATTAATTATAATACCCCACATTTGTATCATTTTCAAAGAGCTCTTTGTTTCATTATCTCACATTAGTGTCACCACAATCCTATGTGATTGGCAGGACGATTATTACTTTCTGCATTTTACTAATGAGAGAATTAAAGCTCTTAGAAGGAAAATGGTTTGATACAGGTCATGGATGGGAGTGTTGGCAAAACTGAGACTAAAACCTAAACCATGACTTCTTATTTAGTACTCCTTCCTCTATACCTGGCTCTTCTCAGAGTGTTCCTGTAAAACAGAAGGGTTTTTAATGACCTCTGAAAGATTTAGATGACAACATATAAAACATTGTGATAGCTGGAATTGTAAATCCTGTAGCTAACATGTATTAAGGGCCTAGTATATGCCAAAAAATCTTCTAAGCATTTTATATGTACCATTTTATTTAAACATCATAAAAGTCCTATGAGGTAGAAACTCTATTATTACCAGATTGTATATGAGAAGACTTAAATCACAGAAAAGTTGCATAGCTTACCAAAGGGAAGACAGGGAGTTGAAGAGTTGGATTAGGGCCTTGGCAGTCTGACTCTAATACTTGGGCCATGAAGTGCAAATCTCATCGTCATCCCTTTTCTAACATTTGACGAAAAGGTGACTTCAGAGACACTGAATTTTGATGAAAGTGCACAGGTTGTCAGGATCATCAGCCCCAGTAGGATACTGATTGTGTGCCATCTCTTTCCAATTCTGCCTTCAGTAATTTCACGTGGCTAGCTTGAAAATGGTTACAGTGGGAGTATTCACACCCATGAAAAATAACATGCTACAAATCAGAATTTATTTTTTTCTGGAGAGTCTGTTGTTAAACATTTACCTTCATACCACAGGTCATACCTAAGATTACCTCTTATAAATCTCCTAAGAGCTGCGATTTTATGATCAAAATATCAGCTTAAGAATGTTTAGAACAATAATAATTTATGTGATTGATTTTCTATATACTTAGTAAGACACACAGCAGTAAACTGAGGATGTTTCTGTTGAGATGTCCATACAATTATTAAAGTACCATTTCCCTTAAAACTATCAGTAAAACAGAGATCATGGAAAAGGAGTCAGGTCCAAGAAGCATTTAGTTGCTTTTAAACTTTAAAAACCTTTTGACTTCTGAAATGTTTTCTGATGGAAAATTCGCTTTCTAGAAAAAAATGATTCCATGAGTATTCCAGAGAGGTATTGTTTGAAAGTTGGGCTGGACTAAAAGAAAAAAGTCAGCACAGAATAAAGCAGTATAAAACACAAATTATTAATTGGAGCCTTAATGACTGCAGAATTTCAGTTAAGAAAGCAATCAAAGCAAAAATCTCCCTTTAAAGATAATTTTGGTGAGAAAAATAAAAACAATTTCTGAATTCTGACTCTTAGTGGAGATTATAGCACAATACCCTAATGAATTTGACTGTTGGGTTTTTTAAAAGACATTTCCAAATGCAAATGCCAATCCTTTATGAGTCTTGTGTTTAGATGTGTCTCTAGAGGCTATTGTTTTTCAAACTTACAAAGTTTTAATCCAGAAACATGTGACCTCAAAAAATATGTTCAATTGTCCTTATTTGGATTGGGATACTGCCAAGCAAAGCAGCATCTTTGGCCTCATGAATAGCAGGGCAGGCAGCTGCCTAAGAGGTACACTTTCAAGATGGGAATTGTGCTTACTAATACCTCCTAAAAACACAATTTATAACTTTCTTTGGTTAACACGAACCAATCTGTCTCATAATTACCACGATTAGAGCATAGACTCTGGATTCAGAAAGACTAGGTTGTTCAAAGTGTGGATTCTCTACTTAATACTTTTTCTTTAAGGAAGTTACTTTACATCCCTGGCTTTATCATCTACAAAATGGGAATAAGGACAATATTTACTTCATAAAGTTGATATGAGAATTAAATGTATAACAATGCCTAACAGAGCAAAATTTAAATAATAACAAGATATTTCTATTTTAAATAAAATTATTATTATGTATGAGCAAAATGCAAATAACTCTCAGATACATAACACATGAAGGTATATGATTAACATATTCTAATGAAGGTATTAAACG